AATCTCTCATTCTCTCCGAAGTCAATATTTAAATAATGTATACATCCAACCTTTTCAATTTTATTGTATGGATTTTATTTTTAAAAATTTCATTATTAGGAAGTTGTAGATTGGATTTCTTTTGAATACGTATTCAATTCATTGTGAAACTTTTATACATGTAATTCAAACATCTTTTTATGAATTTATTAACCTCAACATCTTAAACAACTAGCATTTTCCACTTTCTTTGTGATTTAAATTCTAAAAATAGTCATTGTTTATTTGAAATGCTCATGTTTTCAATATTTATTGGTTAATATTTTAATAATTAATGATTAATTATTTATTACCACTATCCAATGTTTGAAAATATAAGTTGTCTTAACCCAAAATAAATAACCATAACATTTCATTTATCCAATGAAATTATATATATATATATATATATATATATATATATATATGTATTTAACGTATGTCCCTATGTTTTTATTTAAAGGGAAAAGTTTATATTAGGTTGCAACCTTAAAATGTGTAAAAAAAAAGATTTTGATTCCCAGAAATAGTGCATCTTGCAACACATTATCTAGACCGTCCATTTTCAAGATTTTCACATGTTTATAGATCTAAATGATTTTAACTATTTTTTAAGTTTAAAATTTTATAATTAGATATGAAAATACATTTATAGATAATCCTAAGAATTTTTTACACCAAACTTACATGTTATAATAAAATTTGGAGTTGCACCTCAATTGGATTGTTTAAGGTTGCAACCTTATTGAAACCGCACCCTTATTTAAAATGTATCAACGATTTCTTTTATCTTATAAGTACGTTTGTTATACATCTCTCCTTGCATTTATACGTGCGAATGCAAGTGAATCTACTAGTCATGCTAAAATGACCTTTTTTTGTTTTTTGTTAACATAGTCAAACACAGGCTCATAGTAAATCCAATTCCTTTCGGAATTATGGTCAAAACCAAAAGGTGCTTTCGTTAAAAAAAAAAATAGCAAATAGAAATATAGTTGAGATCGTGGTGATAGCACCACTTGAACTTTACCTATCGGTCAAGGTTTCCATTACCATTGACGCATTTGAAAACGTCTAATTAGTCCTACAAACGGGTTGAGGCATGCTATCCCAACTGATCCACCAAAAAAAGGGGCAAATGGTTTGGTGTGGCCTCAGCTACACTCCGAACCATGGACTGCACCTCATTCACACATTCGTTTGGAATGGTTTGAGTGCCAAAATTGATCCAAATCCATTCTCTATCAAAACGTAATCTAAATCATCCATCCCAATGAACGATTTGAATATTTTTAAGGACTTCAATTTAGTTTTAATGTAATAGAGATCCATTCAGTTTTACTGGTGTTTTAAAATGTTTTTAGGTCCGTAATTTATGGGCACGGTTTCTATGCGGCCAGCCCACATATTGTAGAAATACAAGCTTGGTAATAAATATATTTTTTAAATATAATTTGATCCTGACTTTCAGAAAATATATAGTTGTTAACATGGAGATCATGAATATAAAAAAAAAGAAGAAAAGTTGAAAACTATAAATAATAATTATATTAAAAAAACATTTGGACCGTTAGTTACAATTGTTTTTAGATGAACCACCTATTTGCATCTATCTTTAACATGGATGCTTTAGCTAGCATGAAACAATTTTCCTTAATTTATAAAGATAATTAATGAGGCTAAGATGTGGGCCAACAGTATGTTATTAGGATTGGGTCGGGTGTCAAACCAATAAGCAGTCTAGTCTAATCAAAATATGTTTCAAATAGAACCAGTTGAACTATATTTAAATAAAAAATAAAAAAATCGTAGTAGTAGTTTTAAAAACATAAAACGTATTAAAAATATTTATTTACTAGGTCTGACTAGTTATA